AGACAGACAAAGGAACAGACGGACAGACCAACAGGCAGACGACAGATAGCAATGCAAAATTATAAACGATCTCTAGGATCGTTAATAAACGGCAAAAGTGTAAAATTATAGAACATGTAAAAAAACGGTTTTTTGTTTTTTTTTACAATAACTTTTTTTGTAAGCGGTACAGAAAAATTCCTTCCTTGGTACAAGACTCGACACCATAACGAACCAAATAGCGAAAAAAGTAGAACAATAGCTCCTAAGATAAAGAACTAGTAGCGTCGCAAAACGAGCGGACGGACGGACGGACGGACAAAGTGGCCACAATAGCGCATTTTTTTTAATTTTTGTGGAAATGCGCTAAAAACAATTAAAACTTTGGAAGAATTTACTACCGTTTTCTATGACCCCGAAGCACAGGAGAAATCCACTACTAATGTGGGAAAATATTTATTTTGTACCAAAAATAAATTACTGCAGTTCCTGTCCCCAATCAAGCAGGTCATGTATTGTGGGGGCACTGCTTCTATCCTACTGAATGCCCCCCACATCCGTAAACTTGGGGATGGGCACGAGGCAAAGTGGGCTGGGAACCAAACTGGACCAAAGAGGTGTAAATATGGAAGGAGCTCACAATCCTAGGAAAATGCGGCTGCAAATGAACTTGTGAGACCATGAGGTGCTCATGCTTGCGAAACAAGCTTCCCTGGACCTTACAGTGTTCTAACTGTCAAGAACACTGCCAGTCAAGTATATGTACATGCTTATTATAAACATGACTGTCAGAGTTTGATTTTTAATGATCTTAACTAAATATTTTTTTATATCTCGACTGCAACAGGAGATCTGAGCGATGATGAGGCATTCCCCTTTGAAGACTTATGACTTTTTACTTGTAAATACGTTTCAATAATCAACAATTTTTAGTTAAAAACCAAATTCAATGAATAAGTTCCACCTTTGCACCTAGTTTACCTCGACCTGTTTATTCAAAATACTAATAATAAAAAGAGCTATTTGTATATTAAGAGCGCAAAATGATATATTGTCGATTGAAAGAGACATTTGCCGCGCTAATCTCTTGAAATCAACAATCAATTTGCGCTCGAATTTCCAAAAATTTAAATTTTTCACTCAAATATAAATTATTATTTTAATCTTATGGCCAAATGAAAGATGTCTATTACTCGTTGTCATTGGGTACTCTGAGCAATGCATATTTGATTTATAGTTTATAATTTGGGGAGCGAGCGTTTTTTTATTGACATTCCTCAAAAAATATGACGTTTGCGTTGTCAAATAGGAGCGCAAATGCCTACTTTGGATATCGATTGTAGAAAAAGGTCTTTAATGGGTCTTTTTTGGTCATCTTCACCCAAAAGAATCTCAAAAACGTCCCCTCAACCACGAAAATCGGTCAAACTTTCCAAGAAACTTTCGAATCCTGTCGAACGTTAAAAATATCATACAATCATGCTTTGTACACAGAAATTAGCTTCGGATATTGTTTTTGTCGTTTTCACCCTCGGAAACCTCGTAAACGACACCCTAAACGTAAAAATCGCTCTAAAAATAGATTTTTCCTGAAATTCGCCTCAATTTTGAAAATTGGCGCCATTTTCAACCCTAAGGGGCGGAACTTCCGGCTCTGCGACTCAAATCACTCAAATAGGTCTAGGGAACATGTGTTCCAAGTGGCACAATTTTAATACGAAATGCCGTTTGTTCTCACGGGCCGCTCCCACTAGTATAACAACACAAATTATATATTATTATTATATTAAAATATTGCTGGTCACCAGTGCCGTGCTGTATCTCAGTGACATATTTTTTTTATTGATTTTTGGTCTTTATTTTTAAGTGGGCGGGGTTTCAGCAAAGGCTCCTCTACCAACGCAACCCACTATACATTTACAAATATCCATGCCCAACCCGGATTCGAACAAGGGCCCCGTAGTGCCGCACACCGCTGCGCCACACAGGCCGACCAGTATCATATTTTATTGAAGAATTGGAAAGCACTTCTTTTATTATGTAACATATTATACCGCTAACTTTAACGATTTCACCGATTTTAACCGATTTTATTAATAACCCCATTGAAACAAGTGAATATCCTGATGTAGTAAAACAGTTCTAATAAATAAAAGAGGCGCTACAGATGACATCTCCAATTACTGCCCTATTTGTGTCCTCAGTACCTTCTCAAACATTTTTGAGTCTATTGGGACTGATAAAATACAAAATTGTACTAGAATAATTAGGAGAACACACTATCAACATGGATTTAGAAAAAATCGTAACACTTACAGGTCACGTCCTGTTTGCAACTACAAAATTATTTTTTCTATTTCGGTGTCACAATGATGATTTTGTACAACTGTTTTCGGCCTAAAACAGTTGTACAAAGACAGTGATTATAGTCGTTTTCTTTGGTAACTCATCTCTTAAGTTGGCAGTGACTAGTTAGTACAAGTAGGTACTTCGTTGGGTACTTCCATGTTTGAACTTCAAAATGTCAGTCTTACTACGCTGCCAACCTAAAACTTAACGGCATAAAAAGTGTTCCCAACATAAAACATGTTAGTTCTAATGTTCCCTTTAGTTTCTGATAATGATTTTTTTAAATTAAATTAAAACACCGAAATAGAAAAAATAGTATGAAAAACGCGTGTTACAATGCTTTATTGTAATACTCCTATCTTGCGGACACTCGTATCGCATTAAGGTCGCATTGTAACACTTGTCTTTCAATATACTATTGCCATGAATTTCGTGTGTGAGCATGCGCATTTACCAAAACCAGGGGCCACATCTTCACCAATAGGTGTAAACAAGACTGTCATAACCTATTTTTTTAAGGCAAGGGCCGTATTTACTATTTTACGTTTAAAATGAATAGTACAAATTTAATAATAACAGCTGCTGCAGTGGTCGATTTTGCAATTATTTCTTTACTGCTAAGAAAAAAAGTAAAAGCTAAAAAAGACAACGAAAAATGTGGAGTAAAAAATGGTTAGAACAACGAAGAGGCAAAGGAGTATTAAACAAATAAACCTCGAAATAAACATAACCACAAATTTCACAATTCGTTCATGGCTATCATCGCATTGCGCTCACTAGCGCGCAGATTTCGTATAAAATAACCGAATTTTTAGAACAAGTTTTAAAAAAATTTGCATACAAAAAATTTTGTACAAAATTTCACACAAACTAGCGAGAAATTGTGTTTGCAGCGACACTAAATAATTTGTCAAAAGTTTTGTCTAAAATTTTGTATAAAATTTAGCGTCGTATCATACTGGCGTACTTATTCAATGGTAGAATACACTCAATATGTGCTCAAGGAAATGGAAAAAATCTTGCTCATTCATTTCATATGCTAGAGGTAAGGTTTGTTTCCGATAAGTTGGAAAGCCTATGACTAAGAGGTAATGTCAAGAAGTGGTTGGTACCCTATCTCACGAAACGTAGAATTCAGGTGAAGATTGGGAACACCAAATCAAAAATATTCCCTGTAGAACATGGCATTTCGCAGGGAAGTATTTTGGGGCCCTTGATATTCCTCTAATGTGTGGCTGGCTGTATAGTTGTATAATGAACTGCTGCTTAACATAACAAATGCAACAGGCAACATTATTTAAAAAAATTCTTTTAGATAGCGATTTACAGTACCTATTTCAGAATTTGTTAGTAATTGTCATTATTTATTATTATATACAGTATGTCTACTTAAGTTGGTAACATGTGGGAAACCTTTTTATTATTAATTTTACGAAAAACAGTATTCGTCATAAAAATTTCTGCATGTTCTTAAATCTAAAATACAATCATCAAATATTAAATTTTTTCAGTCGTATACGCGGTTTGTCAAATAATATTGTAACGTAAATTTAATTACCTACTTTATTTATTTACGATTAATTAACAATAAATTTATAACAGTCTTAAAACGAATTGATTTATAAGAGGTAAAATATTATTTATCACTCACGAATACACAATTTATAACAGCGCAAACGATTTATTACCTCAGCGTCAAAATTGGAACTGTCCTAAAACGCATATCGATTTGCTTATATAGCAAACTCGAATGTTCTCGACTGTTGCCCAACATTATAGAACAACACGTTATATGTCCCGAAAAGATGGCGTCAAATCCGCCTTCCTTCTTTATCGCCGATGTCTTTCACAGTGAATTTCTGGAATTTTCACTACAGTATGAATGTTACTAAAGAATTATTGAAGATATTGGAAACAGTTAATCAGAACTAAAAATTACCTTCAAATATTCAACTACATCCAATTGCATCGAAAATTTCTTTTTTTGCCCATAATATCGATGCAAATTTAGATACGTGTTGTAAAAGAAATTGTCTTCCAGAAGGATGTACAGGCCGCGCGCTATAGCATGGCGAATAACGGGGCAGACCGAATATGACATCGGTAACTGCCGGGAAAACTTGTCGATGGGGATTTCTATTTCAGTGAAGTTCAGTTGAGTGTATCTTACTATATGATAGTATCATGCTTGTTATCATGACTACTGCACTGGAAACATTCAAGTAAACCGCGCAAACTCGTTCACTGCGCATCTAAAGCTCTCGCCATGTTATAGCGCGCGGCCTATAAGTGCAAATTAAACTGAAGTACTGCATAATTTGAACTATTTGGGCTGTCAAATAACAAATTCATTTCAGGTAAGTTCTCTTACTCAATTAAGTTACATTTTTTAAATGGGCTATTCTATATTTTGTAATGTATAAAATTAATTTTTATTATTGTAAAATATGAGAACGACGTGGCGTAAAATTTATTTTGAAAAATAGTGGACTTTAAAAGTCGTTTTTTTTCAAAAATGCGCATTCACGATCAGTTTGTAGCTTGAGAGGTAGATCTTTTCTAAGGTTTTTTTAAATTTGTTTACTCTGTTGCTCAGTTTTCATGAAGTCAATATGTGAACACACATAGTTTAGATTTCTTTATATTTTCTTCATATTCATATTCAGCAATAGTGCCAAACATTGATTGTTGATTCAGCATTGATATCTTTTCAGCTCAATTGTGATGCAAGATACTAAAACGGAAGCTGGTGCCAATACAGTGAAGTTGTGTCTTCTAATATTGAGCTGCATTGCCGAGGACCAATACGCAAATTCAATTATGCATGATATTAGTCTTACGTTTAAAGTGCACTTGCATAAATTGCCTATGCGACATAGAAAACCATCTACCGATCGCACTACATCATCACAACCATTAGCTTCAACCTTACTAGGTGAGTATTAAGCACACGAATACCGGACCGCCATTAAGTGGCTACCAAGGAAGTAATGGGTCAATAAGTTATAGCGAAAACACACTTACTTTTGTGTAAGAAATGTAATACTTTTGGTATTTTTTTTATTCCTTCTTTTGTATGCCCATTCAAGTCTGATTCCTGCTTCTAGGACACAAACTTGAAGTGGCGCAAAGATGCCCAGAATATTAACGTATATTCCACTGGTTTGGATAGTAAACAAATTGTACAAAATACTAATTTCATCCCTTGATGATGTATGCTTGAAGATTTTGGTCCTACTACTAATACTAACCTAAGACCCCTAAAATGTTTCTATGTTACACGCTACTTAGAATTGCTGCACTGTGTGTGTGTGTGTGATAGAGAAGGACGCAGGGTAACCGCTGATTGTGGTGTACAAATCGATGTGAAAGAGCGCGCATGCATTCTCTCCATGTGATAGAAGCAGACAGAAATATTAATTACATTAATTTAAATTAAGGGTACTCTGGACTTAATTTCTTTGGGCAACCCATTTCCAATTTGTTTACATATTAAGATTACTAAAAAATGCATTTCACTCGAAAAACAGAAGGGCGAAGGTTGACCTTATGTGGGATCTTAGACTACAAGGTTTAAGCACAGCTTACTATCCAGCTGCACAACTCTCTTGGCCGGAGCGGTTTGCGCCGATCTACGCGCGCAGCGCTTATGCCCCGCCTCTTGGGGTAAAAGACTGCATTGCCTGTTTGGCGTGTAATCAAGCCCAGTGTTGCCACGTTGACCATTTTCCCGAATGGATTTATTTCTGATCCACAAAGTACATTAAAAATCAAAAGACCCGTGTGTCCTCAATTTTTATTTGCGAGTAAAATAAACCCAAAATAAATTATTGAAAAGCTGTGTTTTTAGTCCGAATTTGAAACGCTTCAGACTAAATACGTCACAAACCTACAACCAATCACGTAGAAGTGAGCTGGCAACCTTACGCGAGGGTCTGACGTTTGTCACATTTGACGTTTTGAGAGGGATGTTTAACTGCATCTAGCACGAAAGTGACAAGTGCCTGTGACAGATGACGCAAGTTATAAATGCCATTCTCCTGCAATATTGCCAAGTCGTTATGTCATCTGAATGGTTCTAGGAGCTGATTGGTCGGGCTTATTACGTCACAGAGCCCGCCACAATCATATCGTTTTGAATAAACCTTTAAAACCGCACATGTTCATTATTTTTTTGCTAATCAGCCTCTATTTTTAAATAAACTTTTACTGTCCAAAAAAATGTTTTAGGGTTTCAGGTATACGCTTATTAAATTAGAACTGCGGAATTCAACTATACTGTAAACCCCCATTCAATTCAATTAGGCAATAAAATTTAACACCTTACCCTACTTTCATTGCAATATTATGTAATATTGTACAGCAAATTCTAAACGTTCACATTACAATCAAGATAGTCTTTGTTACAATACAGCACAAAATTACGGTACTGTGAAGCTACCGTGCGATGAAAATTCGTTTAATCTCTCCCCCGACTTTTACCCCAAGCGCGAGAAAGTGCGCACCATTCCATCTCGCTTGGTTGTAGACCGCCAGATCAAAGGCGCCGCTCGAGAGTTGCGGAGCTGGATAGTAAGTAAGCTGTGGTTTAAGGCTTTGCGTCACTTGACCCGGAAATATTATGTAACGAAAGGGAATCCTTTAACACACATTCTTAGATTGTTCTCTTTTTAATTTTCAGATTTACTTGTGGAATTTGTTATGAGTCATATGATGAAGAAACTGCCCATGGAGCTGTATCTGTTATGCCTAGGTGTAATCCATCGGATATTGTGTTATCAAAAAAAGTGCCGAATAAGAATTAATTATCCTTGGAAGGACTTGTGGGCAGCATTAATCACTCTCTTACGTTTCCTTGTTCAGCATGAGAGCAATCTTTCCAAAAAAATGAATATATTTGATTTATCGTTGCAAGTGACGAACATTTTCAATTTATTTATTACATACGGAGATACATTTTTACCGACACCTGGTAGTTACGATGAGTTATATTACGAAATAATTCGTATGCACCAGGTGTTTGATAATGTGTACTCCATGGGCTTGAGATATGCAACGGGCGATGGAGAGTTTAAAGACAATGCCCAGAAATTAAATAATAATTTGATAAACATTCGCGCAATCATAAAACATTTTTCGCCAAAAATTGAACAATGGTTAACTTCACAAAGCTTATCAACTCCGACTGAAGATCAAATTTTAGATGTCGTTAAGAAAAATTATGATAGTCTGACCCTCAAACTTCAAGATTCTTTGGACCAATATGATAGATACTCCGAGAAGCCTAAGCATACAACGTTTTTCATTAGCATGTTACGAACTGTTGTAAATGACACCCGATTAAATATTGATTTTGCATCTGTAAATCTTAATCTTATATTGCAAGATTTTTCCTCGATATCGTGAATGAAATTAATTCCTAGATGTAAATTTAAATTTGTATACCTAATTTAGTTTTTGCGGAATTATTATTACATGAGAGCTTTAATTTTCATAATAAATATATCATGTATTTAGAGATAAATTATCTTTTGCCCCCTTTCCCTTTTTGTTTCCCGACTTCTTAATAAACAACATTTACTATTGTATGTATTATGATATGGTCAGTTACCTGCTGCAATCTGATAGATAACTTTCTATGTGAATACATTTATTTACATGAAGAGTAACCGCCAAATAAGTATAATTGAGGCATGAAAAACCTGAATATGTAAAACTCTTTGTCCTATACAATTATACAAAGTTGCAGACCGGTTGACCTCATTTTTATGGTTGGTGTCATACAAGTGCTTCAACTTACACCACGGCTTATAATCATTTGACACTATGTTCGGATGATGCTAGTGTAGGTATTGGCAACTCAATAGTACTTGCTCGCAGTTTTGTATTCCGACTGTCAAGTGTCAGTTGAGTAAGTTGACATCATGTAACATGGTAAATGGGGAGTGAATCCCTATGCGAAACTTCTGGTTTCCTTCTACTCAATCCCAAACATACGCCATGTTTGTTTGAATCCGGCAGATGCGAAGTTTGTTCCTTGTTCAGGAGAGTTTTGGGTGCCCCGTGGCGTGGTAAGCTAATAGTGGGGCGACGGTCTATGCTGAATAAATATTCCGAAAAAACATTTAGAAAATCAATTGCTTCCGTAAATGTTGCTATTATTGTTTAAACAATGTAAATAATTATTAACTACCACTGCGGGAGACACCGTTGATACTAAATTTTCAACCCAAGTGCATAAAAACAGCCGATTCAATTTTGACGTTTTCGTCAAATGTTTTGCTTAGAAGCATCTTGACTCAATCGGCCACGTAACAAAATCACGAAGGATTTTGGGTGGAAAATTGACGAGAAGTACTTCATCTTGGCAAAACAATTTGACGAAAAACGATAAAATTTAATTAGGATATTTTTACGCACGCGGGATATTCGGCATGATTATTTCCTGAATAAATATTCACAGCGGTTTCAACATTTACAAAAGAATTTGCAACAAAACTGGACATCGCACAAGAGATAAGTGCATAATTGAAATTAACGCATTAGGTAGACTTGTTCGCAGTTTGGTATCTAAGCAACAGCAAGCACGCGCGCTATAGTGGAATCGACCGCATCCACCTTTTTGCCGGTAATTAATCTCATTTTACCACTAATATTGTAATAACACCCAAATATCATTATTTAACACTATACACATAATAGCTATTAGGGCACATAAAAATTGAACATCAAGAAAACTATGGTACATAATTTTTTCATATTTCACTCCTAACCATGAGACGTACCCCTTGAATACAAAGAGTATTTGTAGGAATCCCAAGGTAAAAAGAATAATAGGGTAGAATCGATCGCGGTTGACCAAAACTCGTGGGTAAGTAGCGAACCACTGCTACATAAATCATACAGAGTGGTTTATAGCTTGCCAATACGGGTGTATAGGAAGGCATATCTAAACCCAAGATCCCATTGGTAGAGGTACCACACCACACTAACAATAAGAAAATTCGAAAAGTGCTGTCTTTTCCACACTATAGGCGTGTATTGAATGGTTAACATTTTTTGGCGACCGTGACAGGACTGAGGTGAATTGTAATATCTAAATACTCTGTAATAGCGTAAAAACACCACCAAGCACAAAAAAGTACTTCGGTTGATGTATAACAATGTCACTTAATGAATTAGACATTTTATTAAACAAACAACCGGTAGGTAATATATGAAGAAGTGGAAGGGTTTTGGGAGTGCTTTAAACTCAAAATTGAAGACCTTGTCACGATCAACTCTTGAGATTTACAGCTTTCTTAGAAAGTGACACTCCAAAGTCTTTAATCACAGAAATGGAGCAGGTAGTGTGACGTGTACCTATACCAAAAATGTTACTACTTACAAGATAAAGATTGAAAAGCTGTTTGACTCCGTAGAGCAGGTTGGGCCTGTCTCAAGTGTTAGTCAAGTAGGTTCGAAGATGACTCCAGGCATTAGACATTAAACCGTACGACGGTAATATATAAAAGATGGGTTGCCTTTCTGGGCTAAATTACGAAAAATTCATTCAAATCCTGCTTTAGACAATTGCGATAAAATAGATAACTTAGTGCAAGCTGCATCATAACAAAACTGACTTAACATTAACAATTAAAATTAAGTATATTGTATCAGTTTTACGGAGATATTTCCGTTACAGTTACTAGCAGAAAAAGTAACTAATGTAGTTCAATAATTGTGACGGTTCCCATTTACGAATAATAAGTAACTTACCTTCTTAAAACAAATTTGGTATTCCCAATTCTTGTCTTGATAAATTTGCTAACAGTTTTGCTGAAATTAAATGAGCCTCAGATAAACTTCTTAAATATGTATTTATTAAAACCCATACTGTACACAATTTGCAAATAAGAACACAAATTTACAAATATAACCAACTATTATACACATCTCAATATTGTCTTTAATAAACTTAATTTAAACAAGCACACTATAACATAAATAGCATGACGCGACACGATATATTACATGTAAGATGTGACAATTAAGAATTACTTATCCATATAACTTATACTAAACCTTCGGTACCATCATAATTATTATATAGCATGTGTGAGTCTTCAGATAAGATATTTACACCGTTCAGCTTCTCGTTGATATCCCAAGATGTAGTGTGACAGTAACGCAAACAGTAATTTTATTGCTGGAAAAGACATGAATATGTCAATGGAGTATTCGATTTAATGACATTCTATATAGTTAAAGCAGCAGATAGCAAATATTAAATTACATAAAGAAAATTTAAAATAAAATACATACCAAACTAATGAATGAAAGCAAAAGGTTAACGATGCACAGGCTCTTTATTCTGCATGTAATATTGAACCTCCCTCGATAAGGAACTAGCAGAACTCGATCTAGATATCTACCCACAACCATAATAGATGTAGTAAGCCCACATATTATTTTATAATGTGCTTTTTGTATGGCAAAGACATACTAAATCACGTTTGCTGTGCCAACAAAAATATAAGAATAAGAAATATTTGCAATGAGGCATGCAGAATAAATGATTTACAGGTAAAAAATGTTTGAACAAATAGTAAAATGTGCATATGATTGAAGATTTATCTCACAGTTTATAAAATTCAATTTTAATGTTCGTTTATGAAAAGATTGTAAGTCAACAATAGGATAAAATGGTATATCGTACTGAACACCTCTATAAGACTTGTGAATTCAAAAACAATTGAGCATTTAGGACCCCTGCAAAAACAGCATGTTATTATTAACTGAAGTGTAATGATTAACCAAAATTGACCTGTTTTCATTATCAAATAGAACTTGACATGTGTTTTATAGAATGTTTTAGTGTCAACATCTTATACATAGTTCATCCTCTGAAAAAGTAAAAGAAAACTAAACTGTTTAAATAACGTCACCGTGACAAGGAGGAACTTACTACAAGTGGACACAATATGCTACTTAACAATCCAAAGACAATAACGTCATTCTTAATGGATCAAATGGAAAGTCCTACTGAAATGAACAATGACATGAAATAATTCTCCTTTGGGAAATTTAAGTCTTCATATACTAATGAACTTTAAAGAAATGATAGTATTTTAATTGAGCGACTAAAATATTATAGTAGGAGAGCTAGTCGCACACTTTTTTAAACAGTTTTATTATTGTTGATATTTGGATATAAGATAGTTATGTATATACTAATAACATATCCGAGCATCTGGCAGCAATTTCGCGCGGTGGTGGTGGGTGGTCGAAGATTTTCAAAATTCAAACAGTTTTATTGGTAATGAAGCATGTTTTATTTTATTTATATGAATGTACTGAAATGATAAATAATTGTGTAAGATGATTTTTGACTGGCAACACCTACAAAGAGGATTGTTGGTCCGGCAAATTAACGAAAATAATTTAAAACTAATGCATAAAAAAGGTTCATTAATAATAAAACTGTTTGAGTTTTCAAATTTTTAATCCTCTTCGACTACCTATCGAAGCCGCGCGAAATGCCGAACGCTAGGATATGTTATTAACATATACATAACTATCTTATATCCAAATATCAACAATAATAAAACTGTTTAAAAACCACTAGCTCTTAGACTACTACATTTACTTTAACTTTTTACTTTGTGAAATTTTATTAATTAAACGTAAATCGAGCATATCATGTAAATAAACATAAAGGGACATTATAAAAATTCAAATACCTAGATGCAGAATATTAGGGGATGGTGGAAACACTGCATTGTGTATAATCTCTAAAACCTGCTATAGAAATACGTAGTTCATTGGTACTAATACGTGTCAATTGCTTGACAAGACACAAGAAATCTAGTACAGTAGAAGCATGATAATCTGAACGATATGGGCCCACGCAACTGCCGGATTATCAAATAATCTGGATTATGGATTATCGAAAGTAATAATAAAGAAAAAATGCATATGTGCATACAATGACAATGTCTACAAATTATACACAGAAATACATAATATACACAAATACGTAATTTTACAGACTAGGAAAAAATTATCATTATTTTTTTTAGAGAGACGCAGGATTACCGAACGTGCTGAAGTATCAAGATTGCACTGTAATTATGTTCTTAAAAGGAGAACACATGCCGGTTAAATAACCAAAATAGTGTATTTTTGTCTACTGAATACAAATCTGTCAAAAAAAAAGTGTTTTTTTCAGATAATAACAAAAATAACATCCTGTATATTAGTATACCATATGGCGGCCTACTAAATTCTCTACAAAAATTCCTCGAAAAGTTCTTAATGTACCATGACCAACATACTTCAAATAATCAAGATTTTTCAATTATTTTCATTTTGATCTACTTATCCAAGAAAATGCTAGAATGACCTTGTTTGTTGTTAAGTATATGACAGCTAACCTTGAAGTTTATTACATGGTGTGATTTAAGTTTATTTCCTAGAAAATAGGCTTTCTACGCGCCGTATACTGCAGAGTATATAGTATACTATGAGTACTACAATGAGTTCTTGTTCCAGTTATTGTTTTAAATACTATTATCACAGATGCATTTTTATCATTTCATGGATAACTAGATCGAATTGAAAATAATTGAATGATCATGGTTATTTGAAGTATTTTGTTTTTGTTATTAACTTTTTTGTAACATCAATTTGATGTTGGACCACATGCCATTTTGGCGTTAGTCACACTAAACGCAATACAAAAATTTGAACCTTAATCAACGTAAGAGTGGATACATCATACAGATATTGAATATGTATCAGCCAGTGAAAAGAGATAATTGAAGATGCTGAATATACCTGTATATAACCAATTCAGAAACGAGCATTGTATGATAGTAACCAATACAAAAATATGGTGTCAGTATATATTAAGATATTATAAAAAGTAACAAAAGTAAATGATTTACAAGAAAGGCCTTTCCACATTAAAGTTCCAAAAAAAAAGTTACCCAGCCAAATTCGTTTAGTCATTTAACCAAAATGGTGACAAACCATGGTTTGAAAAGCATGTTCAGTAAAAATGTTGGCAAAATTTGCCTGCAACTAAGAAAGTTGGTTCTGCACGAACACAATCTATTTTTTGACGTGTGATTTAAATTGCTTTTGTAAGAAGCACCTTTGGTTAAAATTTCAGAAAAAATGATCCACAAGTAAGAAACTTATGTGCTACCAATGCGCAATCCATTTCAGAAGAATTGGGTAACAAATAAGAGATGCGTATGCGTAATCATTTTTTTTTGCGTCTTTTAGTCTGTGGATGCACAATCTATTTTTTTATGTTCGGTTAGTTTTTTTGGAAAGCACCTTCTTTTAAAATGTCAAAAAAATCCACTCGTAAATAAGAAAATTAGGTCTGTACATGCGCAATCCAGTTTTTTTAAATGGGTACATAATAAATAATAACCCCCAAGTATTGTTTAATATTTAAACAGTGCCCCAAGTAATAATCATGGCTACTGACAGAACCAATTGTCTTTTTCTGTAGCACAGCGTTTATTGTGCCCTCAATGAAGGTGGAGGTTATATCAAGATTTTGGGTCTCTCTGGTCTAAAATGGTCGCTAAAACTGAACAAGAAGAAAGTAGGCATGAATATGAAGGTTTCAGGACGATTTTGGATAAAATAAATTATTTTAAAATGCCTTGAAGTGTCATTTGTTGCATTTGTTTGACGGGAATAGAAAAGTCAAACAAGTTAAAAAGTAATCGTAAACGATTTACAAAAAACGCATTTCCACTTGCATTCATTTCCCATTTGTAAGATGCAACTTCTGTTAAAATCGTAAAAATCCGGTCACAAATATGAAAGATAGCGTTGCACATGTGTAGTAATCCATTTTTGACGTGCTACTTCAATTTCTGTTTATACGAAGAATTTCATTTCAATGTTTTTCTAAATAAGAAAGTTGGAACTGTGCATGCGCCAATCTAAATGTTGAAACTGGCGTTAGATTTTCATTTATTCCAAGTGCCTATGTATCAAATTTCGTCCAAATACTTTTATAAATAAAAGTTTGCAATTCGGTTTATAAATGGTCGAGATGCGAAAAGGGCACTGTGAATTTTGAATTGATTCGACTCAACTTTTGGCATTGCGTATTATATGGCTAAAGATATGCCCATAATGAATTTCATGCAATTCAGTTCATAACTAACTTAAAGCGATAGGACATTTCTAAACAAAATTATCGTTCACACGGACAGAGAGAGGAACAGACAGACAAAGGAACAGACGAACAGACAGACTACAGATAGCAATACAAAGTTATAAACGATCACTAGGATCGTTAATAAACGGCAAAAGTGTAAAATTATGGAACATGTAAAAACGGTTTTTTGGTTTTTTATAATAGGTAGGTTTTAGCAATAAACACAGAAAAAATTCCTTCCTTGGTGCAAGCCTCGACACCATAACGAACCAAATAGCGAAAAAAGTAGAACAATACCTCTTAAGATAAAGAAGTAGTTAGTAGCGTCTCAACGAACGAGCGGACGGACGGACAAAGTGGCCACAATAGCGCATTTATTTTTTCATTTTGTGGAAATGCGCTAAAAAGGATACAAATCTGGTGTATACAGTTGAGACATTATCAAAGTATTTAATGTCATAGAGAAAAAAGTATTTTATGTTTGTAGTCTTTACTATAAACTCACAATACACCTTGCCTTTTTAGAGGGAGTAGTCTCACCTAATTTATTTAAAAAAAAATCAAGTACCCAACTCAAATGCATAGACAACTCTGTTAGTTCCAACTAGCTATGGGACCATATCGATCCACAAGTCAAATGCCACTCTGATTGTACAGAACTTAAATTCCTTGACATTACTAATTAATTATATACACAACTAACAAATTAATAAAAAAAGAATAACATTACATTGGTCAAACTATGTAATTTTTTTTATAATTTTGATGTGAAGGGAGTTACATATGTTGATTTACCACCCCGTAAGTTTCTTTATGTAAGTTTGCAATAAAATCTTCAAATTTCGAAAATACAATAAACATATATTATTACGTTTTACGATACTTTCGTTAGGGTAGTTTATGTTTATTCTAGCATTAAAATAAAAAAAAAAGTAAAATGTCAGCGATTTGGAGCCCAAAAATTAGTGTTAATTTAATTTTGAATTTTTAATAAAAAAACAAATTAAATTAAAATCGAAAAATAAGCAATGGGATATCCACCTACTCAAGGAATAGTCTGGGTACCTTTTCCAGTTATCAACAATGTATTACCATAAGTCGGGCTATTTCGTGTAATGACAGTACAATATCAGATGAGAAATGATCATGCATATTAAACAATATTATTTGGACAAAAATTGCTTTTGATGAGAAAATTAAATCAGGCATGCAGAATTGACTAAAAACAAACCTTACATTTTAATATCTTTTGACACCTTTTCTCTGCCAACAGAAAAACATAAATGATATATGTTCAATGAATATTGCCTTCGAACATGTATTTATTCACTACAAGGGAGTCAGAGATAGCAATACATTTCTATGTATAATAATTTACCAATTGTTTGTTATGAGATCAATGATCAATAAATAGAAGACCATTAATTGATAATGCAAACCAATTATTCTGAAATTCTTATTACACATGGTAAAAGCCAAAGGAAATAGAAATGTGTTGAGTCCTAAATGACAATACATTGTGAATATTACACCTTCGAGCTGAACATTTTTCAATTATCACTTTGGAAATAGAATCAAAATTTCTGTAGTGTACCAGTAAGGGTGAAGAAAAATAGATTTTTGTTAAAGATTCCCAATATTTTACAAAACATAAAAGCTGCAACCGTCACATTGTAACTGTAACAGATTGCTTATATATAAAATGCCAAAAGCTGTTGTTATCAGTGCTCCCTTAGACTTAAAAGATGTAAAGATCAATAATAGTTAATGCAAAAAAAACAACAAATTGTATACAGTACCTGTGAACTATCATCAATCTGTTGCAGTGGCGCAGGCGTTAAAAAATCCATAGGAGCGTTAGGGTCGCTAACTGGAGCGGGTACAAAATAATTCATCTGTAATCCACTGGGAGGCATTGATGAAAACGTTTCAGGGGCGGCTATAGATGGAGCATTTCCAGCAGATTTCGCACCTGGATTAAAAACATCAACATATGATTTTTTTATGTCTGTAACAAGTGTATTGATTATAACATAATTTCCTCTCTTTATATAAGCTCACTTCGTCCTCTTTGCAGTTTAAACATATTTGGTTGTGCTGTCTTTGGTAGCCCATCATCATGTCTTTCATGCACTTCATTTTGTCCTTGTGCCATATTGGTATGTATAGCATTACCAACAGAATTTTGAGTAGGCATCATCCCATTCTCCAAAAATGGCCTAGTAGGTTCCATTTGATGTCCAGGTGCATGCGATAGGTTATCGTGAGCTACGGCGCCAGGAATGGTAGGTATAGCCTGACTGGGCGCGGAATACATATCCGCCATTTTTGGAGGCGGTTTTAATTCGGCCACAGCGCCATCACCTTCAGATTCTAAATTTATCCACCTTTTTTTCTGTTCATCCCACACAATCTAAAAGTAACTTGATTAGAGCCGAGTTTCTAAAAAAATACACCTTACCGATGGATTTTTATCATCGGGTAGTTTCATTTGATTTTTAGGTCGTAAGGAAAGCTTGTTCCATATACCGCCGAACCATCCTGTTGTCGCCGATTTATCTTGGGCTTTCTGTTTAATAGGACTTTCCTTTTTAACTTGGTGCTGCACGTTTTCTTGGTTGTCACGTTCTGCATTTTCTCTCGATTGATGTGGCATAGATATCTGTGGTATGCCCTGAATAATAAGACAAAGCGACAATTTACTATAATATGTGAACATCAAAGTGAAGTTGAACTTAAACTTTTTCGAAAAAAGAAAAAATTACGTATACGTCTAAAAACTAAGCCAAAGAAATGGCTCACTTTTTATATCAAAATGAAAATAATTGAAATTTTGGTTGTTTTGTATTTGTTGTGAATTTTACTATAATGTTAATAAATCTAGACAGTCTGCTTCAGAACGTAGTCTTTGTAATGGTTGTAGAATTTTTATCTGAAATTTGGACTTGAAGTCAATCCCATACTTACTATATTGCGCAGGCACATGATGAAATTACAGATGTGTTGTGTTGTGTATGACTTAAGTTAAATGTTTTTCCGCTTCACCAACAACAAATGTATAAAACACAAGATATTGCATTCGGTACTAGTGACAAATGATGAAACTCAATATGTTGAACATTATGATTAAGAATATGTTATGCACTTGGCACATTCCATCATATTAGTGTAGCTTCAACGATGCAGGTATTAAAAAACGCCAATTTCATTAATAGTTTGAAATTTAATGTTAACAAAATTCTGCTGTACGGCTGCCATTTTAAATGTACGTTGCCAAATGATTTAATTGTATTAACTTTAAAATATCACCAATGCAGCAAGGTGCCCAATGTAAAATTACAAGCTTAACGTCCAGTGGAGTTTTGTTTCACAATCAGGTTTATACTTTTAATTGCCTTTTGACTTTTAACATATAGATAGATATGTATCGGTTTCATGAAAATCAAATATAGTTTTAACTGAAGATAAATTTCTTTTTATGCTTGAACATTTTCTCCCATGCAGATGGCAATCCTAAAAATTATTGGTTCACTTTACGTAGAAGTTCTGCGCTGAGTTAGCTTAAGGTTATCCAACTAATTAACAATGTTTTAAATTAAACGAGATTTGTTGCTATGAAGGAAGTTGTAAACACTACATACGAACTTTTTTCGTTGTGTGTAACCAAATCGACAGACAAATAACACCAACAAGTGAACCCAATTACAAAGATTAACCATTAAACGGATGATTATCCCCACCTCGTTAACTTAAAGCAACTCCAAAGCACGCAATGAACAAGCCTAACATATTCCAGCATGTACCTGATTTATGAACACTTTGCAATATATGAACAAAATTAGATTTGAATATACTTGCAAAAATCATGCCACTAGCGCTGCCACCTACACATTCTTTAACTTATACACTAGCAGTTGCCACTGTTTCGTGTAAATTTGTTGTGGTAAACTTCGATGCAAAGTCTTAAAACCATAATTTTTGGTAACTTTATTTACTAGACATATCTCTACATAACAACATTGAAAACATACATTTCATTGTGTAAAAGCGTTTACCTATAGCACAAAAATGCAAAAATCACATTGATCAGTTTACTAATCTACGCACAAAATAACAATTTTTATAATATATCTTGGCCGAAACCATTTTTCAACAGACAACGTTAACAACATGCATTAAATAATATAATTAAATAGGCCTATCTATGTCGTACGTTTTGGGCGTACCATACTTTCGTACTTGAGGAAGCTCATTCAAAAGCAATTTATGACTATCTGATTTTATCATTTGAGCACTATAACCATCTACGTTTGCTTTGTTTTTAATAGGTTTAATACCAGTGGGTGCATCTATGGGAAACGTACCACCAAATATGAGCGGTTTAAACGTTATCGTTTTATCCGAAGAACCTTTAAACAAAGAATTTTTAATATTTGATAACATATTCTTGGTACTTTTTTTCGCCCAGGAGTCTACGGTGTTCGTTATCATATCACGTTTAGGTTTCTGCTCAAACTTTGCGAATTTAAAGCTTAAATCAAAATCTTGTGTAGATATTGAGACATTGCTGCGCGCGTCGCGATATTGCACTTGCGTATCTTGATACTTAATCAATGTTTTCGAGATTGGTTCATCGAGTGACTTATACTTTACTATTTTAGCATATTTGTCGTTAGATTTTAAATCAAAGGTATTATACTTTGTAACTTTCCCCACATTATTTAAGGAAACAACCTTTCCCTGGTCTTTGTAATTTATTAAATGGGACTTTTCTTCATTTTTATATGGAACATTTTTTTGCCTTCGCCGTACAGAACTACTTTCAAGTTCGTAATCAGAGCTGTCAACGGAAGAACTTTTACAATTCAACTTGTAAGACTTAGTAACTGAAAACTCCTCCGCACTTCTGTTTTTAAAAGGATATAATTTGTATTTCTTGATGTTTCCTTTAGACCCGCTTTCACTCGATTGAGTTTTTTCAGTAGAATGCCGCTCATTAAATAAATAGTCATTTTTACAGAAATTAGAACTAGTACTAGAAGTTAGTTTCTTTCGAAATGTAGCCTTATTAGAATACGAGTGCCCCAGAAATCCATTTATTTGCAGTGAAGGAGAAACATCAACTTTATCTTTACTTACTTCATTTGGCTGATTTTCTACTTCTTCATGCTGCGTCCAGGAAAGCAATAAAAAACATGTTAGATTTATACATTTAAAAAATTATATATAGATATTAATTGTGTAACCATGAAGTGGCAAAGCACATGGTGTCTCAAATAACCAGCACTTGGCAAAGAATTCTTATCTCCAGCAGAAGATATAATTTCGAAATTGATAAGTACACAATCCAATACAATATGAATCTAACAACTAATTCGATAAATATGACTATTAAAACCATTCCCATGAAAGGAAAGTACATAACACGATATTAGACACAAACGACTTGCATGCACACTTATAAAAGGTTCCAGCCATACAGGGTAACAAATTAAAGAATTTCAATGGGCCATACCTCTTTTTCTGTTCCAGTTAGAGGTACCAAATAATAGTAATAGTCCCAAGATCCCAGCTCCCACAGACCTTACTTATTTTCTGATGGGCAAAATGTGCATAATAGGGGAGCCGGGTGACCCAATAAGACTGTTCCTTGGCCATATCTCGAGAACCGTTCGTCATATGACTTAGAAGTAAAAAAATTATTGGGTCATGAAGAATAGCTGGAAAATATTTTCAAGTTCTAAAAATGACCACTAGAGGCCGTAACTGCTATCTTAAATTTTAAAATTGCATTTTCTTTAAATTTCGCATAATAAACTAAACATTTTTTTCACATTTTTTTTCACATTTTTAAAGAGAGTTTATCTATCATTTTCATAAAAACAAAAACTTAGTTATTTCAAAGCGTGGGGCGTGGGAGTTCTTGAACAAAAAAATCGAGGAAGGGGCGTCCTATAACACCCAAAACAATGCCAAATCAGCCTGGGCCTCACATTAGTGGGGAATATAAAATTCACCCGGAGAGTTTTTATAACTTAAGACGCACAAACCCCAAAATACACCTTTATGTGGGATCCAAAGATTGTTCTGGATTATCTAGTAAAAAGTGATAGGGACGACCGAGAGTTTATTTCAAATCGAGTTGAGACTCTTTCCGCAATAAAAATTGAAAATATCCTATTTACACTAATATTTCAGCGCTTTTGAAAACGTGCAAGCCAAATAAGAAGCACCCATGTTCTTTATTCCTCGGTTTCTTACAAATATCAAGATATGTGCGGTTACAGCGTTAAGGGAGACCTTAGATTGCACAAGGGACCTCCGCCAAGGACACGATGAGCTTTTTTTTGTCCTTAAAAAGACTCCACAAAGCCATCTCAACCCAATCGGTAGGCAGTTTTGGATTAAGGCTTTAAGGAGACAAAACCTATCTAAAGTTATTATTCTTGCTCTCTAAATAACTACCTTTCTATATACTTTGAGTGGCAGTACACATAATTGGATAATCAAACGAACTTGTAGTGAAGTTCGATAGGGATGTATATGTGTAGTGCTGACGAGAAGTATTCGCGTTCGCCTATTAAAGCCCAAATTCGACAACAATAACCCCTCTAAAGTAATGAATAAGGGATGGGGAAAAATTACTGGCAGGAGTGGCGCCAGCGCAGTAGCGATCGGTTTTTAGTTTTTCTTTTGCATAGCTAACAGTATACTACCTTTTCAAATATCATGAGTCGGCACTACAGGTCATAATCTCAATCGAAGTTCACTACAAGTTTGTTTAACTATCCAATTATTCAAGGTAATACAACGACGTCTACATATAATCGGGCGGGGGTGGAAGGAGGGACACCTTCCATGTACTGTAATGAAAGGTTTTCTCCCTCCCCTCTTTGATCCCAGGTTGGCGGAATCGGTCATAATTCGACATATACAGTATGCCCCGAGATGAAGTTCACTATATCTACAATCGATCATTTTTAGCGCATTCCTTTAAGAAATAAAAAAAATGTGCTATTGTTTGCGTTTTATTCGTCCGTCCGGACCCACTTTTGCAGTTTTGAACTACTTTTAGAGGAATGGTCGTGGATTTTTTTGCAGTAGGTGGTAGCTTATATCTTGAAAGTGTGCCAGACGGCTAAGTTTCGCTGTTTTAAAGGGGGGGCCACCCATGAATTATTTCCTGAGATGCTGTTTTTGAAAGTAAAACGTGCATAACTTTTACATACGACAACCGGTCTCAGGTTTTGCATACGCATGCCTTTAGTGGTGCCAAGTTCAACTTTTGAAAATGGGGTGGGGGGGGGAAGGTTAAACACACGTTCTACCCTTCATGGGATTCTAATGAAAGGTCTCATCGAAATAAATTGGTTTGTACAAACTATAACTTCCCCGGGCGACTCTTTTTCGAGATCAGTTGGTTACGGGGCGTGAGGGGGGGGGGAGAGTAATTAATGTTATCTTTCATGGTATTCTAATTCAAGGTCTCAACGAAAGGAACCGTTTTCTTTACCAATTACTGCGGACTTTCTGACCCCTTATCAAAAGAGGGGGCTGGAGGGGGGGCAGTGGAACTGGTTTATTCTTCATGGTACTCTAATGAAAGGTCTTAATGAACGGAATTCATTTCTACCAACCATAGTCCTCCTCCTCGACCCCTTATATCTCCAGAACGGATTGTTGGAAGAGGGAGGGTGATTGGAACGTCTGGAAGAAATATATCCATTGGTGACTTCAAAACTTTAAAAGCGAATATCTCGAAAACGGTTTGTCGAAAGTACTCTCACAGGCAAAATGAATCGAGTAGACGAGACGATTGGTAAACTCAAAGTTTTCAGTGCAAATATCTGCAGAATGGAGGATTTTGAATGTATGCCAGGCGGTCTTTAATTGTTTATGTGTAAAAAACGTCCTCCCCATACTACCCAACCATTTCCTAAGCTATTGCGGTTTTAAAAAACAGCGCTTTATCTGCCCTAGAATTGTGCACAATTTATACTTGTTGTCATTTTTCAAGAAAAATTCATTCGTTATAACAAGTCCCGCTTATACCAAAAGTCTAAATGCGCATTTACTTTTGCTTTTAAAATGCGTAATAAATTGAAAAAAATCTATTTTGCAACGATGAGTCCAAAATGTCTATATATCAAAATGAACCCCTATTTTCCTTAACTCTAGAACGACTTTACCGATTTTATTCATCTGTTTGTAAAGTTTTCTAATACAGTATAGGACGTTCTTATCAACAGAAAAACTAAGCAAATTGCGCGCGCCGCAATTGTGTATCAGCTGCATCGATTACCATTATTAGGATCATTATGACTGTCTGTTCCTCGATGTTGTGTTCCATTTGTTAGATGTATTAAACGTCGTATGTTTTTAAATATGAAAAATTGTGGGAAATGTATGTGGTGTATTTAAGTAAAAGTTGGAAAAGCATATTTTTATTATCATTTTTTTGTTCCTGATAGCCACCTGCAGCTGGTAATTAATGAAAGTTTTAAGTGTAAGTAGTTGTTGAATAATGTGTAGTAGGTATTTTTTTCAGTTTAAATTCTGTAAGCGACTTTTTGTTCTTGCCTTGGTATAGGAGCCTTTTTGCGTTTGCTTGATTCGGGAAGGTAGCTCTCAAGACATGGTGTTAAGTTTGTTTTTGTTACAGCTGGCTTCTCTTAAATGACAAAAATGATCTTAGTCCCAAAGACCGCTGTAACACCGAATTTGGTATTTTATTTGTTACTCAATAGTAAACGTTGACTAACAAGCCAAAATGCAAACGGGTAAACGTCACGTTCAAACGCTACTGACTTGTAAAAACTCACTTACCTGGTTAATAATGTAAAATATTATTTCCTATTCGCATTTGTTATTACAAATGTTTTTTGTGCTACAAGTCTGGTACGGTCATTGACAAAGTTAATGATACCCACAAAGTTGAATTCCTTATAGACAGAGATCCCGCGTAGAAAATATCTCGTCATAGGGTACAAAAGGTCTGATGTAACTAGGCAGTAGAATATCACCGTGCGATTCCAAAATCGTCCGTCTGCCGGCCCGCGGCGGTCAACTTAGCGTGGGGGCGAATTTTGAAAACTGTTCCAAATCACATAATACCTCGTCACTGGTATACGTATGATTTTTTGCAATCTGATTCAGAAATGTGCACCCAATTCATAGTTGCAGCGGCAGACGATTTATCTGAGCAACTAAGCTATAATTCGAGCGTGTACCTTATGACGAGGTATTTAACAATTTTTGAATATTTTTAAACGCGTCTGCTCGGGAAAGTTGCCCAGATAAATCTTCTGCTGCTGCAACTATGAATTGGGTGCACATTTCTGAATCAGATTGCAAAAAATCATACGTATACCAGTGACGAGGTATTATGTGATTTGGAACAGTTTTCAAAATTCGACCCCGCGCTAAGTTGACCGCCGCCGGCCGGCAGACGGGCGGTTTTGGTATCGCACGGTGACATTCTACTGCCTAGTTACATCAAACCTTAAGTTTTACAATTTCTAATAGTCGCAGCCAACCTGTATGTAAAGTTAATAAGTTTTAAGTTTTCACCTTAGGCCGAGTAACTTCAGCGCATTTTTGATGAATTGATTCTAGAAACGTCATATAACGGTCTATTTACGTGTCCAAAGGAAAATAAGGCATAAATATTCTTATACATAAGAAACATATGATTTTTGCAATATATGATAGGCTTGTCTTTACTAGAAGCATCTCCAATAAGAAAGTTGAAATTACGCAGTGCAAATTAACCGTCAAGATTTTTCTTGTTTAAGGTGTCTGAGCTATAAGCTACCAAATACAAAAAGAACGAACTAAATATCTTCAAAACTGTCGTTTGTATATTTTTGAACTTATCAAACAACGATCTTTATAAAATAGTGACGAAGTTGGTGAAATTTGCATACCTGGCGTACCTGAGTAACTCTAGAGCCCCCTCGCCAAGCGTAGCGAGACTCATTTGATGGGTGGTATAAGACAGTGTTCTGCAAAGTGGTGTGCCGTGGTGAAAGAGAAAGAGTATTCTTCGCAAAACTTATCGTACCATGACATTAAATAGTTATTTACCCAAAATCCTCCTGGAGCCTTCATTTTCATGCCTACATTCTGTCAGGAAATTTGAGTTTCCATGACAGAGGCAGAGCAGACTA